ATGGTTATCTTTACTCCTTATTCATTTTTTCCCCTGCCATTTCATTCCCTGCCTGCAGGAAGCAGTCATTTCTGAGGAGGGTCAGCAGAAAGGTTTGGGTGCTCAGTGCAAGACTGTAGCCCCGTTCTCAGCCCCATAGGGGGGCTCCCCCATCAGGTCCTTGGCCTGACAGTTCCTTGACCTGCTCAGCACCATCCCCCTTCATTTCAGTTCCCTTCAGCCACCTGCTCCGGGGCATCACAGCAGACCTCATTATTTCCTGGGGCCATATCACCTCCAAAATCCTAAACTCAAATATCTTCCCTTCCCAGCTCTACCTTCTGTTCTTCCAGTTTTCTCACTCGTTCACTTCCACTAAGCCTCCTTCATCCCTACAAAATACGATCCTGGAGATCACTCAGCCCTCGGTCTCCCCTTCCATCTGTCAAGTCCATTCTGACCCCACTCTCTCCCTCCCTCACTACCCACCTATCCAGCCAACCCCAACTCTGGATCTCTACAGCTCTTCCGCTTTCTGCTTCTAGTCACACACAGCTGGAGGAAACCACACCACTAATTATATTGATGCCATAACAAGTATTTAAATGGTTTCCATGGAGCCTGAGCGGTGTCACCCTGGGACAATCCTTTCTCTTTCCATGATCAGTTTTTATGCTCATTTCCTTTTTCAATAATTCCAACTCTTTTTCTTCTTCCTTTTTTTTTAAATTTAATTTTTTTTTTTTAATTTCACAGAGGAAAACAGAGATAGAAACATCAAGGATGAGAGAAAATCACTGATCAACTGTTTCCTGCACCTCCTGCATGACCCCTATTGGGGATTGAGCCTGCAACCTGGGCAGGTGCCCTGCCTGGGAATCTAACCATGATCTTAGTTCAGTGGTCGGCAAACTCATTAGTCAACAGAGCCAAATATTAACAGTACAACGATTGAAATTTCTTTTGAGAGCCATTTTTTTTTTTAACTTAAACTTCTTCTAACACCACTTCTTCAAAATAAGATTCACCCGGGCCATGGTATTTTGTGGAAGAGCCACACTCAAGGGGCCAAAGAGCCACATGTGGCTCACGAGCTACGGTTTGCTGACAACTCTCCTAGTTCATAGGTCAATGCTCAACTACTGAGCCTCACCTACTGGGCCCAAGTCCAAATTCCTACCAGCAGATGAGACATGCTCGGTTATTTCACAATTCAATTAAAAGCCACTGGTTGGAACTCCCTGCACTTCCTGTGGGCCCATTCCCCCTTCCCATCCTCATTTTCAACCATGGTAAAGGTGGAGGTACACGCCCATGACATGAAATGAAGACAGCCTCTGCCTTCAAGGGGCTTACATTCCAGAGCAGCTAGACATACAAACATGACTCAATGACAGGAGCTGGATGGAATGGATGTGGATGAAAACACAGAAAAATAAAGAAGCCTAAGATTTATTGGGAGACTAATGAAGGAAATTCAAAGCTGAGGCTTCTGAGCTGTGATTCATTATCTCCCTCTTCATATTGCTTCCTCTTACTGGCACTGAAATCCCCTTTTCTGCCATTTAAAAAACTATGATAAAATATACTCACCATAAAATTTAACATTTTTAATTGTATAGTTCAGTGGCATTAAATACATTGGCATTGTTGTGCAAACATCACCAACATCCAGAACGTTTTTCCATCGTCCACAAAAGGAACCTCTGTACCCATTTATATATATATAAGCCTAATCGACCGAGACCACTGGTCGACTGCTGACCAGTCGCTATGACACACACTGACCACCAGGGGATAGATGCTGAACACAAGAGCTGTCCCCTGGTGGTCAATGTGCTCCCACAACAGGAGTGCTGCTTAGCCAGAAGCTGGGCTCATGGCTGGTAAGCGCAACTATGGAGGTGGAGCTTCTCCTGCCTCCGTGGCAGTGTTACCCAATGGCATGGCACCCAGCCCTGGCTTGGGCTCTTCCCCGGCCATCTGCCCTTCACGCACTGCTACATCCCCTGAGAGGTCCTGGATTGTGATAGGGCACAGGCCAGGCTGAGGGACCTCACTGGTGCATGAATCCGTGCACTGGGCCTCTAGTTAAATAATAATGGCACTGCCATCTTTTTTTTCATCCAAGCCAGGAACTCTGGGTGACATTCTAGACTCCTCCTTTTCCCTTAGCCCCATATTAAATCCAGCCCTTGGCCCAGCTGATTTCACCCCCTAAGCATGTCTCATCTGTGCAGTTTTGATAGCATCCTAAATGATGTTCCTGACAATCGTCTTATTCATCTTTCTCTCTATTTGTGGAAGGACAAATGCCGGACGTCTGGATCTTGCCTCTCAGTCTGTGAATTCTATTTCTGATCACATCCTCACATTCCCTGGATAGGGGCCACTCACAAGTCCACATGCTGTCTCACATCTCTGTACTTGGGGGCCTCCCAGCTTGAGCTAATGTTCTTTTCCTTGTTTACCTGAAACACTGATCTTCCTTTAAGACCCAGGTTAAGCATCCTCTCTTCCCAGAAACCTGCCTTGCTCCCCATCCCCACTTTCCCAGTTCTTCAGATAATACTGAACATTTCCTGGTGGGTGCTTTCATGATATGTTTATTTTATTCTTTATTATAATGTTCCTGCCTATTTCCCCTTGCCTCAAGGGCAAGGACCATGTCGGATTCATTGTCATACAGTGCTTGGCATCACGGTTTCCATGTACTACTGTTGTTCAGGTTGTGCCCTGAGGCAACCAGCAGTGGCTGAGGTCCAGCCTCCTTTACTTGCTAAGCTCTGCACTCGGACATGGGGCAACCTGCCCAGAGGAAGAGGTGCCTTATTCTAAGGCACATAAAGCAGCTGTACAGGATAGCAGTGGCTCTGCCTGTTACATAGTAAGGGTTCAATTAATGTTACTGTCCTTTCTCTCTGTGCCTTCTTTGCTCCTCCATCAGCTAATGCCACTGCTCTTGGGAGTGTGACTGAGTGTCATCCTAGTCTTCAGACTCTAGACTCCTCTGGTGCCATGAGGGCATGGATGCGTCTAGGGGCATCCTTCCTAGGAGGAGAGCTTTCCTTGGCTCCTCTTCAGTAGAGATTCTGGTCTAGTTTTGGGGGTGGGGGTAGAGTTCTTTGCTAGAACTAAACACAGTACATTACAAGCATTATAGTCTCTTATGAATTAAGTAGCACCTAAGAATCTAAAGCCTATACAACACATGGGGCTCTTCTTGAGAGGGATAGCAAACACAAGCAGGAGCCCACTTTCCTCCCTTTCCTTGACTATGACAGACATTGCCAATCAACGACAACACTGTCACATGTGGATGTCCCAGAATCCTACACAGAAGGGCACCAATTATTGGAATTGGCACTTAAAGCAAAACATTTCTTTTTTTTTTTTTTTAATATATTTTATTGATTTTTTTACAGAGAGGAAGAGAGGGGGATAGAGAGCTAGAAACGTCAATGAGAGAGAAACATCGACCAGCTGCCTCCTGCACACCCCCCACCGGGGATGTGCCCGCAACCAAGGTACATGCCCTTGACTGGAATCGAACCCAGGACCTTTCAGTCCACAGACCGATGCTCTACCACTGAGCCAAACCGGTTTCTGCACAAAACATTTCTTATCTTCAATCAAACCCAACTCCTTATTTTATGAATGAGATGAGGATCCCTATCCTCTATGACCCTCATTCCTCAACTCTGACCCTTCATCTCTAGTTAAACTTGGCATGGGATATACTCACTTACCGTTTCATAAACACTTTTGACTGGCCCCTTTCCTGTGAGTCTTTCTCAGTAGTCCCTTTCCTTAGAATCGAGCTCTAGACCCCTTAGCACTAAGAATTATAATGTATTTCACTTCAGCAAGCTGCTTCAGCTTCCTCACTCATTAGGTAAAGAGTTAAGATCTGGAGATTGAAGAGAAGTGATCTGCCTGAGTCCTCAGGGCAACTTAAGACTGAGCTGGGTTAAGTCCAAATATTCCAACTATCAGGCCGTGGCTCTCTCCACTATACTTCTTTGTGGCTGGTGTTCAATTTTTATTAACACTTACTTCATGGAATGAATCATAGACTTTGAAGTTAGAAAGAATCATTTATCTTTTCCAAACTTCCACATAAGAGAGAAGTTCCTTCCCCTGTAACGCATTTTATGTGAGTGTATTAAAATCCAGAGAGTTTAGGAGGCAGGAGGTGGGTTTGGTGGAGAAACACTGAATCTCTACCAGTTGCTGCTCATCCACTACCTGACTGTATGAGTTGCTCTCATTTTGTGAACCAAACACTTGCCCAGCAAATATCACACATTAACTGATTTAGGGCTCTAAGCTCTCCCCTCTCCCTCTCAAGAGACTGCTTCCTTTAAGCTTTAGGAGACACACAGTCATCCACAAGAAATAATACAGGAATAAAGCAAGACAAGTTAGAAGGATATTTTTCCTCCCTCTCTTCTATCTAACCTTCTTATTTGGCTGCTACAAATAAAACAGATCAGAAACAAAAGCAGACTTGCTGAATACCTTTTATCCTAAACACAAGTGTAGTGAACTCATGGTTAGATTTCTGGGAACTATTTTTAAAATTTGATCCCAAATTTTTAGATTGTGCTTATTAATGGTTGAATTGTCTAGTAGTGGATGGATGAGAGAGTGGAACTGATAAGCCTTAGAAGATTATCCTGTGATGTTTTATATGACAGAAAGATGCACTTTAGCCTCATTGGGACACAGGTCAAACCCTTTACAAAATAGTTGTTCTACTGAGTTATCTTTGCCCTACTTCTCTCTCAAATGCATTCTGTCATTAGGTAAATCCGGAAGTCCCCCCAAGTGAATACACTGGCTGAGCTCTTGAGACAAAACACTGGTATCACAAATTGGGCACCTTGTCAGTATCAACGTAGGAGTGGCTACTATTTTGATAGCCAGTTATCAAGGGCTTAAGGACTCAACTTCTTTCATCCTCTAGCATTTTCCAGCCTGTTCTGTTATCTCCATTTTCTTGATGAACTCCAACTTACCTGTCACAACCTCCTTTTGAATTTCTCCCTGAGGCCCTGGGAAGGACTTAAACACTCCTTTGATGCCATCACTGAACTTTTTACATAACTCCAACATGTTATCTTTGTAATCTTTGAAACCGCTTTTTTTGTTTGTAGATCTTTCCTCCACTAGACTGAATTTATCACCAGAGTCCATGGTTTAGTCACCTTTGTAACTCCAGTACATAGCGAAGTGCCTGGTACTAAGTCAGCACTGAATAGAAGTGTTTGAATGATGAATGAATGAATAAGTGGTCTGCTACAAATAGTCTTTAAATCCCCCTCATCTATCTGTTCCATGATTGTAATTATTATTACTGATACTCAGCACTGTGCAATAAGGAAAGAGGAAAGAGGGCGGTAAGCTCATCTTACAGGTTGTTTTTTTCTCCCCCTTGGAGACTAAATACCGTATTTTTCGGACCATAAGACGCACTTTTTCCCCCCCAGAAGTGGGGGGGAAAAGTCCCTGCGTCTTATGGTCCAAATATAGCCTACACATATACTTTAAAAAAAAGTTTTTTTACTTGCCCGGCTCTGTGTGGTCTCTGTGTGCTTGCCCGGCTCTAAAATGGTTCTAAATGCTGCTGTTTACTTACAGGATTGATTACATGTGTTTATGATTGTGATGTTGGGTTTTAATGCACATAAATATTTTAGGACACTATTTGTTTCAGAATCTTTTTTTCTTCATTTCCCTTCTCTAAAAACTGGTGTGTCTTATGGTCCGAAAAATACGGTAACTGTAAAACACCTCCTTCTTTTTTTTTAAAGAAAATGTAGTCACTGACTGCATAGGTATGCTAACTCCTAATCCAGGTGAGTGAGCTCTAGTAGACTAAGGTAAGGACATTTGGAAAATGGATAAAGCATGATAAGAAAGTATTATCACTTAATATTACTACACACATATATTTTTTCTCTGTCAGAGAAATACAGAAAAGCACTGATTTATCCAAGGCATTGGTATACCGTGTTCTTCTGAATATTTCTTCTACCCCATTGAGTAAAATATTTAAAGCCAGGACAGCTCAAGATCAAGTCTACTTATTTGTTTGCTTATTTTAGAGGCTGACTTATGTAAAAGGGTGTGATTGATGAACATCTTAGGGCTCTCCAGGAGAAAATAAAACTGTATACACTGAAAAAGCAGTCAAACAGCCCATAAACAAAGAACTCCTCTGGGTTCAAATACAAAGATACTCTTATACTTTATTTTATTTATTTATTTATTTAATTGTTTAAAGTATATTTATTTATTTTTAAACGTAACTTAATTTAATTTTTTCCATCGCCATTTATCCCTTTATGCCCTCTTCCAACTCTACCTCCCCTTCCTACTCCCATAGGTACTCATTCTTAAAGTGTTAATTCTTTCTTTTGCCTTTCTGCACTGGAAAATCAAGGTCAAATACAATAATTGGAGCAGGATTTCCCTGCCAAACTTAGCATGCTTCTTCCCTGTGAGGGGTAGGGTAAAGAGGGAGATCAACAAGCTCTAACGGAAGTTACGCACCTGAGGTCGTCCTTGCAGCCCTTCTTGGAATCCCTCAACCCCTTCTTTTCCTGTGGTTGCCCCACCATGAAAAAAGTGTCCCTGATGGTAGGAAAGTCTTCCAGCAGGGCCCTCAGGCTATTGCAGTAGGCCATGATCTGGCCCCGAAGAGCGTAGTGAGACATGTGCTGGTTAAATCTGAAAAGTCAGAATAGATGATGTCCAGAGGTGAGTCCTCTCTACAGAATTTTCAGGATCTACTTTCCTAGACTATCTTTCAAAGAAAATAGAGCACCTCCGTCATGAAGAAATCTCTGTCTGGGTCAGGTTGCTACTGCATGAAGGCAAAGGCATGGGCCCCTTCAAAGCATCTCTTATCCTTCACTTCTAATGATCCTTCTTCCACTTGTCAGAGGTGAGCTTGATTTGGCTCAAATAAAACAGACTACCTCATAACTTGGAGAATTTCTACATAGTTCTGGTGTTTATTGAATTCAGAGTTAGAGAAATCAGCATATGTAGTTCACATATGCTACATATCCTATACTTACTTCTGACAATATTCAACTATGACTTCTCTCTTGATTTTCTCAATTTCATCCTGTAATAAAAGAAGATGACAGTTCTTCTATTAGACAGTTGGTTATAAACACTCTCCATGCAAGTATCTATGAAGAAACTGATGGCAAACTTAAAGCAGAAAAAGGCCACACTGTTGAAGTACTCCTCCTGGTGCTCAAATTATTGGGAAATACTCCTCCAGGGCAGCCTCCCCCTCCCATACATTTCGCTGAGTGAGTAAAGAATGCAAGGCCCTGACCACTCTTTACTGGGGCCATTGCTAAGGATTATGTTTGCAGAAAAAAGTCTTAAGGGATGAGCTAATGCCTCCCTCCAGGAGAAACAGCAGACTTGCTATAAAAGAGGTGGGTTCCTCTAAACTCAGTATTACTCAATGGTGACAATACTGCATGCATCCGGGCTCCTCCATGTTGCTCCTGTGGAACTTGGGAAGCCAAGGGAACTGACACAAACACAAAGCCCATGTTGCCTGCTCTGCTATGAGTAGCAAAGCTATTCTGTCTCTTAACTAGGAGTCTTGTGTCTTCTGCCAGCCTCCACAGAACAGTCACAGGTTAACGTACCAGCTTGTAAGTGGGCTAAAATCCCAGACCTTGACACAATTGACAATTTATTGCCTGAGCCTTTTCTAATCTGTTTGGCATTGAATAATCCTATGAGCAGTTAGTGAGTTGTTACATTTTCTACTTGGTCAGTATTTTTTTCAATATTATAGTAAAAAACTAATTTAATATCTTAGTGACTTATTAAAAGGATTCCTTTCTCTCTATTATTGTTCAGAGTAATCTTGACATCTGGCCTCCCTCACATCCCAATTGGATTAGGTAAATGTAGGTATTTTGTTTTCAGTCACAGGTAGGGAAAAAGTCTAGAGATTGTAAATCTGCCATTACTTCTCCAAACATCGCTGCATTAACCTAATGATTTCCTAGTAAAAAAATTAATAAATAGTGAAATTTATTTGCAAAATTAAGCAATACTTTTAACTGTTTAAAGACTTGAGCTTTATAGATATGTTTTCAACAGGTTGGGCTAGTATAAAACCCTTAAATAGGAACAAGGTGACCTTGCCTGAAAAAACAAGGTGGATTAAATGGCAAGAGTCCTTTGTTCACCTTGTCTAAACACCCTAAGCACTGGCGGGTCTCTCAGGAATGAGCAAAGGTTCCAAAGCGGGTGTTGAAACTAGTTCCATTTAGAAAGTGACAGAATGAAATGTGACCTTGGGAAAATGAACACGTTTTAAAAAACTAGACTGCAGTTGGCTTGAATGGCTTCCTTTGTGTTTCTTATTGAGCTCCCTTTTTCAGTTCTTTATGTTTTCAATGGTCCTATCCAAATAGGCTGAATGCAACAGGCTCCAAGTTAAGAATTTTTATTTGCTCAAATGTAAAAGATGACACGAGAGCTTTAGGGAGCCCTCCTTGCAATACTCACAAGATTCGTTGAGTTCTCCATGGTTTGTTTCCTGAGGAGGAAGGCATTCAGCATCATGTCCCGCAGTCCCACCTTTTCTAATTGAATAGACACGAAAGCCTCTGGAGCTCTGACAAGGAAACAGAGACATCTGAGCCCAAGGTGAGTGGATGTATAGCAAGGAGACAACTTGAGAACTCTCTGAAGGACAGGGACACCTGAGGCTGCACACTGGGCCTTGCAGCAGGGGAGCTGGTGGCTCTGTCTTCACAGTCCCCAGCTGCTTCCTGTGTTGATGTGTCCTCCTCCTCCTTGGGTCTCATGTGCCTGAGGCATGCATTGGCAGCCCCGAACTTCACAGCCTGGCCCAGTGTTTGTACTATTCTGGTCCCTTTGTGTCCTCCAGGCCTAATATGTAGGGGCACGATGGACTGAAATGGCCTCCCAAGGGTCTGCTGGACCGGGCACATTGATCAAAAATCTTCCATCCACACATTGGGAGTGTGGAGGTAGGGCACCCAATCTCTGGCCCTATATCAGATCAATAGCATCTTGAGAAGTAGAGTAGCTTTGCCTGTTGTTGTTTTTTCCCCCCATTTAAAATTTTCCAGAATTAAGCTAAAATATCATTGGTATGCCCCAATGAAATACTCAGCGTATTTATAATTATTGCAGAATCCAAATATCTCTCTTTCTGTGTCATAGTGAGAAGAAGTCAAGACATAATGGGGTATCCCTGCGTTTAGACACATCTTTTTTAGAGATTGTGTCTCTTTGACAACACACCATTCTATTATTCTAAGCAATGACAAAGCTCTTGTTAGAATATTAAGGGTAGATCTGTACTTCTCACTAAGATAGACATGGAAAATTTGGAGAGGCCAACGTTCTTTGTTCTTGTGTTCTACTCTCTTTGAAGTTTGAAAAACACAGAAAAAGGGATGAGGAGAGGGAGGGAAAAGCAAGAGAAGGGTAAAGAGGGAAGAAGAGAAAAGAGGTTGCAATTAGGAACTGTTAACTCTCTTTTCATAGACTGGAGTACATCAGAAGGAATTGAGCCTTCTCACTGCTCACACAAGGTTCAAAATCAAACACATGCTGGTCACTCTGGGAGTTTAGTCATTCTTCAGTCTCATAACATTCTGTTCTTTCTTTTTAAAAAAATATATTTTATTGATTTTTTTTACAGAGAGGGATAGAGAGTTAGAAACATTGACAAAAGAGAAACATCGATCAGCTGCCTCTTGAACACCCCCTACTGGGGATGTGCGCGCAACCAGGGTACATGCCCTTGACCAGAATCGAACTCGGGACCTTTCAGTCTGCAGGCCGATGCTCTAACCTAGGGGTGTCGAACTCAATCAGAGAAGGGGCCAAAATCTAAAATCCAGCCTAAATCGCGGGCCGAATGGTTTACTGAACAGTCATAAACTGTCATTGTGATGGAAATGCAGCGGAGTGCAGTGATGACAGCGCAGTGCGGGCCACATTGCAAGGCCTGGCAGGACGGATTTGGCCCGCAGGCCTTGTGTTTGACACATGTGCTCTAACCAAACCGGTTTCGGCAACACTCTGTTCTTAACTGACTTAAAATAGGATACATTTATGTTAATCCTGCTTCCTCCTGGTACAGTACCTTTTGATAGCCTTGGATCTTTCTGAAGGAAGAATAAAGGTGTCTGGAAGTTTTGGAGTTGGGGCCAATAGCAATCTCTCTATGCCATTTACAATTCTGGAATTTCTTCTGGTTGGACCCATTCCACCATCATTTCTCAGATCTGAATTTATTTCCTAAAATATTTCAAACCAAAGTGAATCCAAATTGTTGGATTTATATGTCCTGTGGTACTGGCTATAAAATTATCTCATAGCCACAAATACGTGTAAATGACTGGATACATGGGGAGGAAGTAGGAATGGAGAGAGGGGGGAAGGGAGGAAACTAAAGAGAGTAAGGGAGAGAAGGGAAGAGAGCTGCTATTTTGCACAATAAAGGGGTGAGGCACTAAGTGGAACTATTTTCAGAATAGAATGCAATTATCTAAAGTGCTCTGACAAAAATTCTCCATTCCACAGGTGGCTAGTGGAGTACTTGATCAGAGGGGCCTCTTAAGAAATACTGCTGATGGGCTTTATGGCTGTGAGAGCTGAGGACTTATTTTGGGTGCAGATTCCAGGTTTCTAGGGGGAAGGGGAGAGGGGAATGGGAGTGACTGCTAATTGGTAAAGAATTTTTGAGAGTGATGAAAACTTTCTGGAATTAAATTGTGCTGATGGTCGCATGATCTTGTGAATTATACATGGTAAAGAAATAAATGTAATGTAATGTAAATTATCTATATATATAAAAGGGTAAGTGACCTACTGTCCATCCGTCTGACTGACTGGCTGGCCAGTACACAGGATGTGCACTGGCAATTTAAAAATAAATGTTAAATTGCACATGCACAATACGGATAAAGCTCTTGCTGGCACCAATCGTACGCGTGTGTTTGATCTGTCATTGTCGATTGTGAATTTGATTGGAACTTCTATTATAAAGGGTGAATAATGATATTAAAATATTTCTTCTAATTAATTTCCTTTCAATGTGCACAAATTTGTGCACCAGGCCACTAGTATCTCAATAACAACCACAAAAGACAGAAAAAGAAAGAATATATATTGAGTGTTGACTTTTGTAGAAAACATAGGCATAAATTTGTTAGGTTTAATCAAATAATTGAATAGATACTCCACAGGAACTGCCCTTTAGGCCACTTTACAATGGACATTCCCTTTTGCTTAGACCACATTCCACTTGCTAAGACCACATTCCACTTATTAAGACCATTATCACTCCCCTCTGGACTGTCCCAGGCTCTGGACCTGCAGAGATTTCTCTGCCCAGAAAAAGCCCACCTAAAGTCCTTTAAAACCTCTGATTCCCTGTCTTTGGGTGCTGGCACCCTTTTGGGGTTTAGCCCATCTAGTATCCATATGACCTAATAAATTTATAATTCCTTACTACTTTGGCCTTGTGTGTTCTTCATTTGACTACCCTAAATTTCTCTTTTACTTTTGCAAAAAGAAATACAGGAAGGATAAAACATAAAACAACAGAATCCTTTATCTACAAAAGGGAGAGGTGGATGAAAAGGTTATTTTTTTTTTTTCAAGGTAGTCAATATTATAGAGTTACATATAAAAAAATTATTAGCATAAAAAGGTAAAAGATCAAGTAAAGATTTGATCATGTGTTGAGTTACTTTAGAAAAGAAGAAATAAAAGGAAGGCGGGAAGAAAAGAAGATAAAAATACAGGAAAGAAGGGAAAATGGTAGAAAGGGAAGAGAAAGGGGGAGAAGAGAAAGAAGGGAGGAAGGAGAGGTAGAGGTAAAGGTAAGGAGGGAAGTATGCAAGGAAGGGACAGCCTGAGGTTAGCTGGTGAGTCATGGTAGCATGCCTCAGGCTCCGCTATCTTAGAGGCTGACCTTGACCTCAGCAGGACAGCCTCCTCGGGGAGTGTGATAGTAGAATGCATGCTGGACAGCCACCATCAAAGCATTCTTCTGAGCAGCTTGACATGCAAGAGTCACTTGCATGTTTTCAACTCCCGAATGGAACAAGAGCTATAAAAAGAAAATATGAAAGGTATTAGGAATTCTCTCACAAAGAAAAAGGTTAATAAGCCGGTCAGAGAAAGACAAGTATCACATGGTCTCACTCATAAATGGAATCTAGTGAACAAAATAAACTGATGAACAAAATAGATCCAAATAAATAGAAGCATGGAACAGACTGCGGAATCTCAGAGGGAAGGTGGGGTTGGAGAGAAGGAGGGAAGGAGTGTGGAGAGATTAACCAAAGAATTTATATGCATATATGCATAACACATAAAATATAGACAATAGTGTGTTGAGGGTCTGAGGGGGGTATTAGATAGAGGAGGGTCAATGGGAAAAGAAAAAAGGGGGCCATATGTAATATTTTCGACAACAAAAATAAATTCTTTAAAAAAAGGAAAAGGTAAAGTTGAGGGTTGAGATCACCACTTGTTCAACATCCTATATAATAAAAGGAAAATTGACTGAATAGCTGAACAACTGATCACTATGATGTGCACTGACCACCAGTGGGCAGACTTTCAGTGCAGGAGCTGCCCCCTGGTTGTCAGTGCATTCCCACTGGGGGAGCGCCATGCAGCCAGAAGAGAAGCTGGGCTCAGGACTGGTGAGCACAGCAGTGGTAATGGGAGCTATTCCTGCCTCTGTGGCAGTGCTAAGGATGTCCGACTATCTGCTTAAGCTGTCAGTGGGACATTCCCCAAGGGCTCCCGGACTGCAAGAGGGTACAGGCCAGGCTGAGGGACACCTCCCCTCAAGTGCACGAATTTTGTGCACTGGGCCTCTAGTGTCAAGCTGCAGGATGAGCTGAGATCCTTGTTCCTTAGTCACAAGACTGAATCTTTGTCTCCTTAAGCAGTATTTCGACCAGGAAGGCAGCCCCGAAGCTTGATTTCCCCAAATGTCAGAAAAGGATGAGCAGGCTCTAATGAGTGAGCGACCATGCGCAGGGGAAGGCTCTTGTAAAACTGCCAAGATTAGATTTATGTTTAAAAAATGCACACACGAATTGAAGCCTGCACATACATACATACATATAAGTAAAGAAAGCTATCCGAGTGATGGGAAAAAACAGCACCAGATTTAAAAGGTCAGATAAAAGCTCCGATCACTAGTGTATATTTTCAAAAGCTTGATACAAAAGTGGCTCACTGCAAGTGCTTCTTTTTAACATCTAATAGAAGTTACTACAAAGGGTGCTGCAGTCTCTATAGTTCCATCCAGGCCAATGTGCACATCAAATGGGCAAGGCCTTCATCATTGCTTATGAAGTTGGGAGCTTTTCTTATATAAGAGACTCAACCTTATAGGGATTAAACATTATGACTTTTAAAGAAAGACAGGAGAAAAATGCTTAATTTTCCTTTAGTTTCCTTTTTTTTTTTTTTTAATAATTAAAATAATTTACCTTAAGGATGGCTTCCTTCGTATAAAAACTAAATTTGCCCACTTGGTTATCATCCACCTCAGAGATGGCCAAGACAAGAGTAGTAGGAGAATATCTGCAAGAAGAAACATGTCACTGTGTCAGTCATTGTGCCGTGCCATTGGCCAAGAGATGCCCATTCTGATGGGACAGAATGGCCTGTGATCAGCTCTGGGCCATCAGTAGGAACAGCAAGTGCAGATGTTATGCAAAAATTGATATTCCCACTCAAAGACTGAAAGGCTCAGGGTCTTTTCAGTCCTTATTGGACTTGATCTCCTTGTAATTTTGTTGTGGTGACCATCCAACCCTGGAGCATTTGAAATTATTTTCTCTTGATCACCATACCACTGTTTTTCCTCCTGTTTTTTCCTCGTGCCTTCTTGACCTCCCCACTCTGGCATGTGGATTGTTTTGAGCCAAAGGCAATTGAAACTCTGCTGGCTCCCAGAAACTTTTACCTCTCCCTTAAAGAATTTAAATTAAAGACCTTGTCCATAATAGGAGTTATCTACCAGAGATAACTTTTTATGACTTATATATCTAGGCCAGGGCAAACGTCTAATTACGGAACTTCTGAGCATCTGATCTTGTTGTCCTGCGAATGACCTTACTCCCCTCTGAAGCCTCAAAGCTGCCTTGTCTCATTCCTTAGCTCAGAAAGTTATTGCTTCATTTTTCCTTCCCCCGAATGAACCTCTCAGCTACAATATATGGGGTTCCCATATGAACATATATAATTAAGTTGGATCATTTTCTCTTGCTAACCTGTCTCATGTGGATTTGACTATTAGACCAGCAGAAAGAACCTGACAGGGTAGATGGAGGGAAGTGTCTTCCTCCCCACAGTCTCATCTACTCTGGCCCCTCACGGACTCAGACCCCCTTGTCCACTCCCTAAAAGTTGTCCAGTTCAAACTCTCTCCCATGGCCCTAACCGCCATCTAATATTCTTTGTAACCACAGTTCTGCCTTGGGACATGATCCTTTGTCCATAACTATGAGACTCTATTATGTAATTTAATATCTATGACTTTTGGTTTCTTTACCTATGACTGTATGTAAATGGGGTATCACTTATCTCATATATGGCTATGATAAATATTAAGTGGAATAATATGCATGAATGTACTTTTTAAAATGTCAGTCACTATACTTATGTTTGGTCTATGTTGTCACGGCAGAACTCCAAAGTGGCAACTTTAAGAAATGAACATGTTTAAAACAAATGCAAACTCCAGACACAAATTCCTTGGATGCGTAAACCATTCTCTAGGAATTCAGAAGGCTCCCCAGATCTTGCAGAATCTCTGGGTCATCACTGGGAGGACCAATCACTGCTTGGCCAGGACACAGAGCACTTGGGCAACCTGTGCCATTTGGTTGATTGTGACTGAACAAAATAGGCCCTATGTCACGGCAGTGTAAAAGGTCAGCTCCAGCAGGAGGCCCTCGAAGAGACAGAGAATAGCTTAGCTCTAGGTTGGAGACTAAGCCTTGCCTGAAGCTCAATTATACCTCCTGCCTTCAGCTTCTATGAGATCTCTCTGTACCCTAACAATAAATTCTCTTTTTTGGTTTAGCTAGTGTGACAGAATAGAGCAGGGGACATTTGGCAATATCTGGAGACACTTTTTAAAAAATACATATATTTTATTGATTTTTTACAGAGAGGAAGGGAGAGGGATAGAAAGTCAGAAACATCGACGAGAGAGAAACATTGATCAGTCGCCTCTTGCACACCCCCTACCGGGGATGTGCCCGCAACCAGAGTACATGCCCTTGACTGGAATTGAACCCTGGTCCCTTGAGTCCGCAGGCTGATGCTCTATCCACTGAGCCAAACCGGTTTCAGCCTGAAGACACTTTTGATTGTCACAAATGGGAAGGAGAGGTATTACTAGCATCTGGTAGGCAGTGGTCAGGGATGCTGCTAAACAAGCTCTGATACACAGCCCCCTACAAGAAAGAGTCACCCTGCCCCAAATTTCAATAGTGCCAAGATTGAGAAATTCTGAGACACTGTATTCTATCATCCTAACCCATCCATTCTACCCATGCTCTCTCTGAGGGAGAGGAGTCTCTTAACGTATTAATATACTAACATATCCAAGTTATATTTTGAGCAGGGATCCACATCAGCAAAAACAAGGTGACTTTCCCTCCTTGGAGTCATCCTTGCCTTCCTTGGGGTGGATGGGGCCAGGACCAGAAATCTCCAAGGATAGAACAAGAGCCCTCAGAGGGAGGACAGACTAGGGGGGAGGAAAAAAAAGACAAACATTCTTCTCAGCATACATCAAAGGTGGACTTTCTGAGGGGGAAAAAGATTCCTTTCTCTAACTGGATGGATTCATGATCTGTTAGTGGTAGGTTTTCTTTCTGCCAATGGGCATGAAATAGAGATTCCACTGGTTTCAGTCAGCTTCTTTTATTGACCAACAGAAGAACCTAAGTTATTGCCATACATGTTAGATTTGTACAATGTATTAGAATTTTGAGGAAATGGTGCTCAAAAACACCTGACTGACTTCTTCCTGGTCTCAGGGTAAGTGAGAGAAGGGACCTGGACTTCTAATCCATGGCTCTTGCCCCCATGAGACCAACCCTCACACCCCTTTCTACCCAGAAGCAACACTGTCAACCCGGGTAGCTGCCTGAGCCCGTGATTCCATCTCATTTGAACTCTCTGATCTGATTCTTCCAAGTTATGTGATGTTTTTAAATCAAATTATTCCCCCTGACTGAGACCTTATTTCCCCTCTTATTAAGAAAAGGGGAGAAAGAAAATAAATGGCATTAGAACAGACAGAATATAATACAATTTGAAATACAAATGTGTTCGCTTGTCCAGTGGTGGGAGGAATTATTTTTCACTAGTCGTTCATTCTACAATACCATTACCTTATTTTTACTTTGACCCTCTTAAGGCTCACCTGTCTACACAATCACTGTTTTCCAGCAGAGAGGTGATAAAGACGGGAGGTGGATGATCCACCTTGTCCTTGTGTGTTGCAAATTCAAAGTGAACAGGCCTCAGATGCAAATGGAACTCTTCAAAGCCCATCTCCGACGCCATTTTCTTATAGAGACTAAAATGGGGGGGAAAGAGCCAACAACATTTACTATTTATTTTCTCCTGAAAGGAAGCTAAGTGGTAAGAAAACCAAAACATCAGAATAAGCACAAAAGCAAAAGGCAAACTAAAAGTAACAGAAGAAGGGCAGGAAGTGAATGAGTCACAAAGGTCTTATGGCTGCCCTCTGCTATGACAGTTGAAAATAGAAGTAAAGTAGGAGGAGATGTGCTTGGTACTTTCTTAACTCTCATTTCCTGAAAGCTAGTTTCTGTCCTCAGAGTCCCCACCAGGTCACCTAGATTGCCCTCAATACAAGGTTCATTGTCTTCCTTTGGAACTCTCCACATCTTTCAAGGCTGGAATGGTGTCACTGCCTCTCCTTTGTCTAGCCCTCTACTGTCTCTGCTCTGCTATTCAACTTCATTACACTCAAGAGAAATATCCAGTCAATATTTAGAGTGCTGGTGTAGGGCAGACCTGACTTCAGGTGATGAGGTACCATGGAGAACCATATACATAGCGTTTTTGTATTCAGGGAACTTCCACTAGCAGGAAAACCAATAAGCCAATACGAAGCATCTTATTACAAGGCAATGTGCTGAATGGAGAGGAAGGCCAGGTGCTAGGATCTAGGTTAGCTAAGTGGTCAGGGAGGCACGTAGGAAGGGCTGGGTGAGAGAAGGAGCAAGCCAGGTGACCATTTCAGCAATTTAGAAAGTTTCCACAATTTAGAAAGTTCTGTGGGCACAGAGAGGGCAAGGCTTGTAGGCAGGAAGCCCCACTGTCTGTCATCCCCCTCCTAGATCCTCAGTCCCCCGTCTGACCCAGCTAAGTGTGCGCTCTCCAGGCTCATTTCTATCAGCCGGTGGCGGAGGGTCACAAGTTCCAGAAGTTTGGAAAACGTCTCCAGGAGCAGCACACGAGCATCTCGGCCTTGGTTCTGTCCTTTGGCTGCCGCAGACTTAAGTGCAAGCAGGCCTATCTCCTCCACAAGAAAGGGATCGCCCATCACCTTCGCTGAAAGCAGCTGAGAGAAAACAAAGTATTTTTAAATGTATTAAAAAAGAAAAGAAATATCACTTACTAAGAAAAATGCTACTAGTAGCACAGATTCTGGATTCAGATTCTCTGGGCTCAAATCCTGTCTCTGCCACTTAAAATCTGTGAGGTTTGGGGCAATTTACTCTATTGTGCAGTCTCTTAGTTTCCTCATCTGTAAAGTGGGGACAATAACAGTACAAAATAGGCACTGATAGATAGTAAGTAATTATCTAGAAGGATTGTTAAGAAGTTTAAGTGAGTAAGTAGCTGTAAAAATGCCTGGAACATCGTATTCGTTATCATTATTATAAATGTTTTAGGCCAAAATAAAGAATAGAAATGACAAAGATGACCTGAAGAGAAATAGAAGTCCTGATATCTGTCAAGTATTTTATGACCAATAATAATAATAATTTCTTATAAGCCCCTCTGATTGCCTTTCAAAAATTCCAAGTATTTTAACCAACAGTAACTCATTTATTTTCACAAGATCCCCCTGAAGTGGGCATCACAGATGCCATGATTTCCATTTGATCTGTGAGGGATCTGAAGCAACACTGAAACTTTCTGAGTGTCACACCGACACCAACAGTAAGTTCAGGCTCCTTAATCCCAAGCTCAGCCTTTTTACAGAACACTAAACCACCTTTATTTTTTAAATATACTTTATATATATTGATTTCAGAGAGGCAAGGAGAGGGAGAGAGATAGAAACATCAATGACGAGAGAGGATCATTGATTGCCTGCCCTCTGCATGCCCCCCCCTGGTGATCAAACTCACACTCAGGGCATGTGCTCTGACCGGGAATAGAACCTTGACCTGCTTCATAGGTGGAAGCTCAACCACTGAGCCACATCCATCTGATAACCTGCCTTTACAGCGCTCCTCCATTCAGAACCAACCCTGGGCAGCTTGTGAAACAATCCCATTGTTTTTTAATGTCCTCCTGTTGTGGTCAATCACCTACTCTGATACCTTTGCTACTCGCTAATATGTCACTCCCACAAGGACCAAGTTTCAGGACCTTGACCGGTCTTTCTAAGTTTGGCTCCCTGAGTGTGTACAAACTCCCTCATCCGTCCATTTATCCACCAAAAGCCTTGTCCACTCAAGGATGCAATTTCTAGACTCTTGAAGTATTCCAAAAGTGATCAGTTATTAAACTAATTCCTACATGTCCTCTGAGGACATGTGCCCTCTTTTCTGGCCTAATACAAAAGTTTAATTTGAATATTTATCATTTCTAGATCCAAATTTGAACACATTTCAAAAGTAATAATTATTAAAACTTGGATCCTAGATAAGTACCTCAGATATTTACTATGATTTATAAGAGAATTTAAAATACATTTAAAAAATCTGGTACCATGTCCTGGCAGGTGAGAGTCAATGGTTAGAGTGTCAGCCTATGAACCAAAGGGTCATCGGTTCAATGCCTGGCTTCCGGTTCAATCAATCCCCAGCCCCAGTTTGGGGGGTTCGGAATTGCAGGAGCCAATCAATTAATATGTCTCTCTCATATCAATTTTTCTCTCCTCCCTCCCTCTTTTGCTTCTACTCTCTATAAATATATACATATTTGAGTGAGGGTTAACAACAACAAAAAACTCTGGTACCACAATACAAAATGAAAAGAATACTCAATAAATTATAGGAGAATACATGAGTGGTAATTCGAGGGAGAAATTTAATTTTGAGCCATACCTCACACCACACAAACAACAGGTAGAATACTAAATATTTTTTAAATAAAATGAAAATCTTAAGAAATTAGAATAAAATAAGAATTATGAAAAATTTAGGGGAAGATTTGCTTTCTGGATTTAGGAGAAAGATCAACTATATGAAAATAAGTTTCTGTTAAAAATAAAAAGGCAAATGGAGAAATATTTGCAGAAAACATGATGGATGAAAGGATTAAAATTTTTACTAAGAAGAATTCATGTGAGTGGATAGGAATAACATTAGAATTCAAAGAGATAAATAAACAAAGGGAAAGAATAGAAAATTCACACACGGATGAGCAGTTAGGAGCCAGCAGTCCCAGATTGTGAGAGGGATGACAGCTGCTCCCTGGAGGGGTCCCAAATTGGAGAGGGTGCAGACTGAGCTGAGGGACACACACCCCCAGCACGAATTTCATGCACTAGGCCTCTAGTATATATACATATTGGAACATTCTATGCTTACACCTAATATTATACAATGTAGCAGAACTGGTGCTCTTAAACATTATTGATGGTATTGTAACTTGGCACAACACTTTTTTTTGTGTCAATTTTTATTGAATTTATTGGGGTGACATTGCTTAATAAAATTATACAGGTTTCAAGAGTAAAATTCTATAATACATCATCTATATTGTATTTTGTGTTCACCACTGCAATTGGCACAACTCTTGACAAGCAAACTGTAATATGTTAGCCAAAGACTTAAATTTTGTTTCAGCAATTTCATTTCCAAAAATTTATCAAAGAGAATTAGCTCAAAATATGGAAAAATCTATAAGCACAGAGATATATGTACTTTATAACATTTTTAATACTATTGAAAAGTTAGACACTTATTTTTATGCCCATAAATAGGCAAATAGTTAGGTGAGTTATTATTCATCACTTAGAGAATTATGGAGTTATAAAAATGCGTATAAAGACTGGTTAGTAATATAGAAAGATACATAATATGTTAACTGCAAAAAATAGGAGATAGCATTGTATGAAGTGTATGATTATAATTTAACATGCACATAGGAAATAATTTATTTTTATCAACTTAACATTAATTTAAAATAAAATAAAATTTTAGTTTGGGTAGGAGGGAATAGAAGCCTGGGCCAGACATGTAAAACAGATATTTTTGGCATCTGGGGCCTTTGAAAGTTCTTTCATATACAGCAAGTGCCCACATAAAGTAAAGCCAAGCTGAAAACCCAGGCTCAACTGTGATAGCCTTAACCAAAAATAAAAGAATTAAAATCCAACTGCAAACACCAAGTAAATCATCGGTCCACAGCTTCAACTATAGATCATTAGAGCTGGAAGGGCCTTTAGAGATCGATCATCAAGCTCACCTACCACCACTCCCCTTCAAATACAGAAACATAATGTTCCAAAATAGGAAAGTGAGGCTCAGAGAGGCTAAGACACCTAGTCAAAGTCACACAGCACCTTAATGACAAAGCTGAACTTGAGTCCAAGTCCCTGAATCCACATTCAGTCCTCGCTCTCCTCTACCAGGCCTCAGCTCAGGACAAAAGAAGTGAATTTTAGAAAGAGTCTTTGTGGAAAGAAAACATATAATTTTTAATTAAAAATGTATAGTGTTAAAACATAAATAATAAATCAGAAAACACTTCCCACATACCTATATACATCTCCCTTTTAATTTCATTGTAGCAGCGTCCTGATAAACTATAAACTTTGACCCCCTCTCCCCCCACCTCCCAAATCACATAAAAATGTTGGCAAGGCCTAGGATTATGAGCTGTCACTGGCCAAATAGGGGAGGAATGGAGCCAAACAGAAAAACAAAGCTAAGTAGTAACATCTGGGAGGAAACATTCTCTTGGCCAAGGACCCCCCTTCCCCCTTTCCGAGAACCTACATCTTTCTGGAGCTGTGCGCTGTACCAGGACTCCGGGGGGCCGTGGCGAGCCACAGGTCCAGGGCCCGCTGTAGCAGCCGCCGCTCCAGCAGGGCCAGGCCGCTGGGGGATGCAGGCCGGCAGAGGCGGCGGGCCTCCTGGAAGAGGTGCTCCAGGGCCCTGGGGAGGAGCGCTGCCAGGCCCAGGGAAGGGTGGAACTCCAGCAGATACGTGTTTTTCAGTGCCGGGCTTTAAAAGAGGAGCAACCAATGACAATTTTACATAATGAAGAACTTAATCCGTTTCCAAAAACTTTTGAATTTTATAATGTTAAACACCAGTAAAACAGCTCCTTTAAACCAGGACATTTAAAAAACAACAAACAGGAATTTGAAGGGGCTTCATAGGCCGTTCAGCGAACCCTTTAGATTATATAACATGTGCTTTACTTTCAAATGAAGTAAACTTGGAAGATATGAGTTTATTCTAAACGTGAAAGAAGAGTAAGATTCTTAAAATACATACAGCAAACCTGTCAACATTTCAGTAATCAACATTTAGTCAAATATTTGAAAGCAGCCCAGCCAGCCTGGCTGGCATGGCCCAGTGGTTGAGGTCAATCTATAAACCAGGAGATCACAGTTCAGTTCCCAGTCAGGGCACATGTCCTGGTTACAGGGTCCATCCCCAGTAGGGGCTGTGCAGAAGTCATCTACGTTTCTCTCTCATCGGTTTTTCTATTTCTCTCTCCCTCAACCCATCCTCTCTCTGAAATCAATAAAAACACTTAAAAATATATTTGAAAACACAGTAACTTAAAAGTGACTAAATATTAAACAAATGATTTTCATGGTTAGTTTTTATTTTTCTTGAGTCTTTATCTCCTTCCCCTCCCTCCCCCCAAAATGTGAATGGACAGAAACAATTTTTAAATTCTTTGTGTACTACTGGAATCATTCCTGTCTGCATGAGGATGCTATGTTGTATAAATGAGTGAGGCTGGAATTGATAAAAGGCTTGTCTGTGGGTATTTCTTTTAAAAGGAGGATGTAACACAAATCAAGGGCCTTTGTATTTGTACATGGAACAACAGAATAGAAATACTTTTTAAATCTATGCAAATGGATTCCTCTTAGTCCTGGATCTTAAAAAATACAACCTTCAGGATGAAAAGGAATCTTAACAAGCAAATAACACTGATTTCTGAGACTCTTCTGACAAGACTTAGTTTCCATATAGGCCTAGAATGTTCTGCCAAAAACCACCTTTGAAACAGAAGAGTCTTGCCACAGAAAGTTTCACACACACAGCTGGTGTCTGAAACTTATCACCGTGAAGAAATCAGTCCTGAGAAATGTCTGTGGAGGAAATGTAGTCTTGTGCCTGGGACCCCAAGGACTCTTTCTCAAGAGACAAGGTTGAATCTCACCTATGAAGTCTCCTGGCACCCTACTCGTCCCCCAGATGATCCCACAGCCATGTGGCAATTTCCCCCCGAGACTCTGCCTATTCCACCACACTGTCCACTTCACAGGGCACAGGGACACATCTGTGAGCACACTAGTGCCCTCCCAGCGCACTGCCTACTCTGTGTAAGTGCTCAACAAAGATTGTGGGGCTTGAGAGGAGCTGAACAACATTCCCACCCATTTGAAGGCAACAGAGAAACTGTGATCTCAAATTACATAGACCAAATTGGGGTTTGTCAACCACTTCCCAGTTCCTTCTCTACCCTCCAAGGCTGGAAGGAAATGGCGGGGGTGGGGGGGGGGGGGGGGGGGAGAGAAGGTAGAAGGAGGGTGAAAGGGTAGGAGAGGTCATACTACCTATCAAGGGGGGTTTAAAGTATGTATCCTCTCTGAGTGGTCTCAGGAGATTTAACTTGCGCCTTCAAGGGGTACGGGACCTCAAGGTGAGTCTGCAGAGATCTTTTTGGTGACACTTGCTAGAAAAAAAGAAATTCCTTTTTGAGAAACTTTTAAGGATATCAAGGTTCATGTTTGTCAGCTATGTGCAACCTCTGATTATATCTTCCAATGGCATTCCAAGAGCAACTGCCTTTTTATTTTTATTTTTAGGTCTTCTCAAGGAAGTGAAGATTCTGCACCCAGTGGTATAAGTTTACATTTGAGCCTCCTATTCTTTATTACTTAAAGCAAGTGATACTGAGGGTGCGAGGGAGTTCCTCTTCTGTGGCTTTTATAGCTACTTCTCTGAGAGGTGCTTTTTGCAACCGTGTTCAGACTTAACATCATCCTCTTAAGTTATCTAGGGGATTAAAAGTCAAACGTCTGAAGACAACACCAGCTTACCAGCTATTGTTGATGGAAATGCGTTCTTTGCAAATTATGTTAAGGGGGAGTCCAAAGTTATTGCTGTCATCTGGACGGCCTTCTTGCCAAAGCCTCTGGACATACTCCCGCTGCCGCTCGATCTAGAAATGTAGCATAGACGTTAAAATTAGAAAAGTTAAACTTTCCCATGGACGTGAGTTCTGAGCCTTGGCACGGGGAAAACATCAGCGCTTTGCATCTCTTCATTATTTGACCAGTTTTCACTCAGACAGGATTTAGGATGCACTCATATAGGAACATGCTGGTCTCTCAGTCCCAGCCCAGGGTCAGCCAGGGGAAGCAAGGCAACCAACTCCCGACAACCTTAAGAAGCCAAGAGAAATTCTTTTTGTCAGATAACTGAGTACAAGGAAAACATGCTAACGAGGCCTAAGGAAAGTGGACTGGTTCAATCCCTACCTCCCCTTTACTTCCTGCCACAGCGCCCCCCAGAGGCCATACACTGTGATTGTCCCTTTTAGTCCTAAAAATAGTCACAACATTAAAAAGAATAAACATGGTTGTATACTCAATGCCTTTTACAGGGGTAGGTTTAGTCCTTCTTCCATTACCAATAAACTCTTATCATCTAATGAAAACAGGTTTTCCATTCCTTGTGGACTAGTAAATGTATTTGGGTTAGGAACCTCCCTTTAAGACTGTAGGTATGCCCTAGCTGGTTTGGCTCAGTGGATAGCGTGTCTGCCTGCGGACTGAAGGGTCGCAGGTTTGATTCCAGTCCAGGGCACTTGCCTGGGTTACAGGTTCAATCCCCAGTAGGAGGCTTCCAGGAGGCAGCCCATCAATGATTATCTCTCTCATTGTTGATGTTTCTGTCTCTCTCTCCCTCTCCCTTCTTCTTTCTGGAATAAAAAAAAAAAAATGTGTTTTTGTTGTTTTTTTTTTGTTTTGTTTTGTTTTGTTTTTTTTAAAAAAAGACTGTAGCTATGCTTGGAATTCAACATTGCAAATAAGCTTACACATGAACACGCTGCACATGCTGCCCTAGAAAACCCAGATTCTGGGCCCACAGTGAAAGGAAAGCACTTTCTTCAGTTCTGGCCATGTTTTCCATCCCCTTCTCACATGTCCTAGTTCACTTTTTATTACTTTTAGATTGATTTTAGAAAGAGAGGAAGGGATAGGGAGAGAGAAACATCAATTCGTTGCCTTCTTGCCAAAGTAGGCAAGAGTATGTCCAGAGGCTTTGGCAAAGAACGCTGCGGGGCACCCCAACCAGGGATTAACCTGGTAATCTGAATATATACCCTGACTAGGAATCGAACCCAGGACCCTTCGGTGCATTGGTCACGCTCCAACCAACCGAGCCACCTTGGCCAAGGACACGCGTGACGCTTTCCAGGATGCGGTACTCACGTGCTGGTTGAGGATGCCCCGCAGCAGCTGCAGGTGAAGCCTCAGGCAGGCGCACTCCTCTCGGTAGGCCTTAATGAAGTAAGGGTGGCTGAGATCAAACCGGGGGCCCCTGTACATGACGTCAGTGATCACCTGTGCCAAGGCGAACCTCTCCTCGGGGTCCAGCGTGTGCTGGTAGGCTTCAAAGTAACAGTCCAGAAGCTGCAAATGAAGTTGAGAGTCAGGGCCCAGTCCTAGGGCCCAGCCCAGAGAGGTGAGGCACCTGCACTCCATGTGTTGGGGAGTCCCCGGGCACCCACCGGAGACAGTGCTGAATCTCTGGGTACAGGGTTGGTGCAGGCAGTGGCAACACCCATGCCACGCAGAGCAGTGCATACACCCACAGGGAGGTAAGGGAGGGCGAGGGAGAGAATACTCGCTGTGCCTCGGTCCCTGTTTCCCTGCTCTCCGCAGATAAAACGGAGCGGGGATGGGGGAGACTCTATAGTGAAGAATATCACCTCTGATAATGGTAAGCTCTGATCCCACTGCATTCAGGGTCACTTCATCAGGTATATTTATCTTCCATGCCTTTCTTCACAGTCCCACTCCTCTCCCCCTTTCACTCCATCATCAAATGCTCTAGTATGTAGGCAGGCGGCCTCCTCCCCAGTTCTACAGCCTCAGCCCCATTTCTGACCTCTCTCTTCAATAGTCTTCCCAAAGTTCACCTGTGTAGGGATGATGGGAGTGTGGTAGAATGGAAGGCTGAGGGATTGCAAAGCCATTTCTCCCAGACCAGGAGGGGCCCGGGTACAGAACTCCCAAAGGCATCCGGAGAGCTAGCTCCTTTCCTGGTGAAGTTCACAGCTTCTCTAGAAACCAAAGAGAGCTCCCACACACGAACAGTTGAAGAGGGTTCTTCCTGTGGGAATTCAGATGCTCTTTTTTTTTTTTTTTTTTCTTTTTAAAGTATATTTTTATTGATTTCAGAAAGGAAGGGAGAGGGAGAGAGAGAACATCAATGATGAGAGAGAATCATTAAATGGCTGCTTCCTGCACACCCCACACTGGAGATGGAGCCCGAAACCTGGGCATGTACCCTAACCAGGAATCGAATTGTGACCTCCTGGTTCATAGGTCAATGCTCAACCACTGAGCCATGCCAGCCAGACCAGATACTCTTGATTTTGCTTTCACATTTGTTTGTGGGCTGAAGGAATTTCTGTTCTGCATGTAAATTCTATTTGTGTGTAATTAGTCATGGTGCTAATCAGTAAAAGCTCTTCAGAGTTCACTGGGCTGGAATCCCAAACAGGAACCTAAGGGCAAGGTAAGGAAGTAGTTCTGAACAACGTACTTATTATTTTAGAGTTGTTTTAAAACCTTCATTGGCCTTAGATGCTCTCACTTTTGGAGACCTTGTCCCACATTATAACAAATATGTTAAGATGGCCTCACATCCCAAATAAAATTTCTTTTTATGCAAAAATGTTAAGTGGCATGTATTATTTTGCTCTTCAAAATACTTGCCTATGAGCAACACATTTAATTAATGACTGGCTATGATTTCTGGACAGTGTGTATCTGGGGAATTCTTATGAAGTGAGAAAGGCTGATCCATAAAGTGTTTTTGGATGTAATGAGAAGTTCATAAGTGCTCAATTGACCAAGTTTTCACATTTTACAGACATGTAATGAAGCATTTATTGACGTCTATTTTCTTTTCTTATTTTGGAGTAACCCATGTGTTATTGTGTGTGTTTTTTTCTTAGATCTCAAACAATTTCAATGTTCCCTAAAAAGCAATTAGATCCTAAACACCCAGTCTATATGGCCTGATGGGTAAATCGGCTCGGACTGGAAGCTTCTGTACTATTCTCCCCACTGGCCTGACAATGGAATGAATGCCTTTCCTTGGCCAAAGGAATCTAATATATCCTTCCCCAGAGTCTCCACTCAAGCTGTCCCTTCGGAAAGTCATCTGGGACCAGCTCCCCTCAGAGAGGTTCCCTCCCCTGAGAGGCCTCAGCTCCTGTGGAAGCTCTATCACCAAAGACATGGGCTTCCCCAGGGTGGGCACCGAATGGACAGCAGGGAGTGAACTGCCGAGGCTGCAATGTCTACCAGCCCGACAGCCTGCCCCCTGGGAGGTGCGTTGGAGAAAGAGCAGGCTTTGCTTCCCTGGGTGCTGATTCTCCTGGTGGTTTCAGGCCTGCAGTCAGCCTCTTCTTAAAAAAAATAAAATAATAAAAATAAAAATAAGAAGGAATTTCCTAAAAGGAGATGAGGAGCCCCTCTCACTGTGTGGTATCCGTAACTAGGAATGCCAAAACCAGAAAGAACAGAGAAGGTTGCTAATCCTGGCTTCCGAGGCTCCCGAGGGAGGTGGACATTTGAAGATTAATAAGAAAGTAGGAATCAATGCCTTTTTAATAGATGTTCAGTAACTGAGGGTCACAATGCTAAGGCTCAAGAAGGGAGAGCCTGGGCACTTTAGATAGCATACGGTTTGCAGGAACGCCTACGGGACTCCGGGTCCACCAAAGGAGGCTGAGAGCTCCGGACAGAATGCTCCATGGAGTCACTCCAAGATCTCAGAGTTGAAACGAAGGAAGGTTTGGCAACATGGAGACATTCCTGGCTGTTCCGTTACCCCCCCATTTGCCTTCTGTGCTGTTGCCTCCTGTATTCAGATGCCCTGGCCCTGCAGGGAAGTCTAAATTATCTTATTTTGTCCCTAGAGTTCTACTCTGGAGTTGCTTTCAATTATGAAGTAGCAGAAGACAAAGCAGAAGGAGTGACTAGTTGGTGTAAGAAGGGCACCACTTGGGATAGCTTAGGGGGAGATTAGGAATGAAACAATCACTTCTCTAAATCATTCTGGACTAACCTGGACCATTTTGCTGGGCCAGGGCAATCCCAGGAGCTAGTTTGTTGCATTTGTAATTGCCCTGACCTGTTTTTGTACAAAGAGCCCAATTGTTTGGTAATTTGGCAGGAGAAGTTTAAGGGGAGGTTCTTTTATATTTATTTAAAATTTTTTAAATTATTGATTCTATTACAGATGTTCCCTATTTCTCCCCTTCCTTTTTTGCCTTCCACCTTTCTTGCCGGTGATTCCAAATCGAGTGATACCAGGTTGCAGACTAAAGGGTCTTGGGTTCAATTCTCAGCAGGAGCTAAATTGCCACACTTATTTTTGTTACTCATAGGACTGACAGATTTAGCAAATAAGGATGCAGACTATCTAGTTACATTTTAATTTCTGATAAACAATGAATATTTTTTTCAGTTAAATATATCCCAAATAGTGTCATATTTTACCTGCAACCCTAATTGCTGAGAAGGAGCACATGGCTCTCTTTTTAAACTGGTAAGGCCTTCTCAAGCTTTGGCTTCAATCCTGAGATGTTCTCAGATGGATGCTTGCATACTTTTATCATGAATGTTTTCCCTACAGGGGAAGGACCGTGATCGTTCCACCTCACAGGTTCTCTCTGTTATCTGTTTGCTAACTGGCCCATTTCCACTTAAACTCTGGGCTGGCATTTGTCTAAGAAGTCTGCCTAGCCTGTCAAATGTCACCTGTGTGTGTCAAGGACTCACTCTTAGGTACATACTGATGGTAGGCATAGAATATTGGAGAAAATAGAAAAGTAGCCAAAACGAATAATCTCAAGACTTACTTTGTTTATATCGTTGTTATTTATTATTATTTGTTAATCCTCACCTGAGGGATATGTTTCCATTGATTTTTTTAGAGAGAGGGGAAGGGAGGGGGAGGGACAGAGAAAGTGAGAAACATTGATGTGAGAGAGACACATTGATTGGTTGCCTCCCTCATGCACCCCAGCTGGGGCCGTGGATTGAGCCTGCACCTCAGGTATGTGCCCTTGCTGGGAATTGAACCCAAGACGCTTCAGTGTGTGCTCTACCCACTGAGTCAAACTGGCCAGGGCTATCTATATATTCTAACTCAAACTTTTTTCTATAAAAATAAATAAATATAGTATTTCAGGTCAAATGAAAGTGCAAAACAGAAAACCAATGCTAGATGCAGCCAGTCAACAGATTATTATTTTTTTAAAGTGTTCCAAACACAAATCCAACTGAAAATGTGTCCTCTGGTGGCTGTGGAGAGAATAAGCAGTTGACTGTACATATGTCACTCAGGAGCTGGCACCACTGATATCCGGCTTCTCTAAGAGTCCCTTAATCAACCTAAATTCGCACCAGCTCTAATTTCATGAGCATTTATACATAATATGGTCACTTTAAGGATTTAAGACAACACAATGTGTTTGAGCAATTCTTAACATTCTAGCGATTCCAGTAATTTAACAATCAAAACCAGCTGAGGAAACGTGGCAGCAGAGCCGATGCTGAAGAAACCAGCCGCATCCCAAGAAAAGTCTGGTTTACCGCTCACAATAGGCTCCTCCGACAGACTTTCTGACTTAGAAGGCCCCTGTGACAGTTTTGGCACAAACAACTCTGTTTCCCTGAGGAACTTATTCTCAGGGTAGAGAGGAATCAGCAGTGATTGTTTTAAGTTAAAATGATTTCTTTAAAACTCCTGTCTGGACGAATACACTTGTCGCGTTTGAGGAGTCTGTCTTCTATACAATCAATGCAGCCTTTCCGGTTACTACACTGTGAGTCTAAATCCCTCATTTACTCAGTTGATCTGCTGGTTCTGACTGGCTGATCAAGGTTGCAGATGCAGACTCGGTAAAGGCCAGTTATCTTCAAAAAGAGGAACCGCTCTCAATGCCCAGGGTTTTCGCCCTTTAAGCTCAGCTAGTTGTTGGTTTTTTTTTGTTTTTTTTTAAATTGGGTGATTTACATCTCCATGAGTAACACACCAGAGAGTAGATGAAATGGTAAGCCAGAGAGTAGATGAAGTGGTAAACTAAAGAAACAATTCAAAGAAAACATTTCCACTTCCCCACGTCTGACCACATCATACTGTATCCTGGCTCCCATCCCGTAACTCTTCGGAGAGCCTGCAAAGCTGGCGTGACCCCCTGTGGCTGGCCCACCGCCCGGCTTTCGGGGGCCGTCTTTCTGGTGTCTCACTGCAGGCCACACTGGTAGCTATCTTCTCCTAACGAAGACACATTCTTTCCATTGACTTGCATAACGCTATTCCTCCCGTTTCTCTCCAGCCTCTTTGGCTACTCTTGGTTCCTCTCAGGGGTTCTTATGCCATGACCTTACCCTTGAAGGTGTTACCCAGGGGCCCACTTCAGACATCTCTGGCTCTTTCTAGTCATTTCGACTCATTCCTGTGGTCCGACTTACACATTCCGACCTCAGCTCAGACCTGCTCCTGAGTTTCCAAATGAGGGCACCCACCAAACACCCACACCCGGCTCCAGAACCCTCTCTCTCAGACCTTGCACCCTAGACTCAGTGTTATTCCCCCCTCCCTCCTGCCCCTGCCTCGGCTGTCTGTGCCAATGGACAGGCGCCTCCCCAGCCCTGAGGAAGTCATTTCAGTCCCATCCTTACTCTCTCACTCCAGCATCCTGCCCTCGCCTCTTCCCCAAAGAGCTCTCAGGCCTGCTCCTCCTTCCTGTTCCCACGGTGACACCCTCAGCGTGGGTCTCCTCCTGATGCTCAGGCACCTGCTACAATGGCTGCACTTCCTTCCCCAGGAACTTCTATTCCGGCCATTCCTCCGCACTGACACCTCACACACAGCTACGCCATGGAAACAGAGCTGTGACCGTATTTCTCCCCTGCAGAACTCACCAGCGGCTTTCTCTGCTTATAAGATAAAGTCTAAATGAAGCCTGGACTAGCAGGCCCTTCCCAGACTGCACCCAAAACACAGGTTCACCTTGTTTCCCAGCAGCCTCTGCTCCAAGCCTTAGCAGTCTTCTCGCCACTCTCCAGACTCACGCCTCCCCCATTTGATACCAGCCCTAACATTGCAAATGTTTCCTCTGCTTAAGGATCTTTCCTTCTCTGACAGACAATATCTGACGCACCTGTTAGTAACCAGATTAAATACCTATCCCTCCGGGAAGACGTGGGAACGTTTCGTTTACTCTGGCAGCGCACCCCCCCCCCCCTCCCCGCCTCCACATGGCAGATGCCCCCTCCACTGGGGTCCCCAAGGCTCTTGCATATGCCACCGGATTATAATTTTGCTTAGAGATCAGATCAATGTTTAAAGGCTACAAATTCCTTAAAAATATTCCCTTGTATTTATATGTTCCCAGTGCCTAGAACAGTACCTGGAACAGAGTAAATACTTACTGTTTGATGAATAAACTCCCCACAGTTAGAGATGATCAAAAGGGCAATAATACATGCTGAGGAGCAGTGTTTAATTTATTGCTGAAATTTGAACCATTAACAACAGGATGATGATTCAGTAGCTCACTGTCTTATTGCTTTAAATTTACACTGTAACTTGTTTCACTCAGCACACCTTAACCACCTGCTCTCATGCATCCACATGGGGCATACACTTCTGAAGGCCACAAAGATCGTCAGTGTGTCTTTGTTTGGTAGACTGAGGGCTGTCCTGACAGACAAGGAATATGAATGGAGTCGTCTTTCATTCTCACTTAAAAGGGAGCCAGGAAAGACCCAATGAGTTTTTAAAAAATATTGAGTTTTACAATAATTTTTATTTGCCTTAACCGGTTTGGCTCAGTGGATAGAGCATCGACCTGTGGACTGAAGGGTCCCAGGTTCGATTCCAGTCAGGGGCATATACTTTGGTTGAGGGCACATCCCCCATAGGGGGTGTACAGGAGGCAGCAGATCAAGGTTTCTCTCTCATCAATGTTTCAAACTCTCTATCCCTTTCCCTTCCTCTCTGTAAAAATCAATGGAATATATATATATAATTTTTTTTAAAGAATTTTTATTTAACCAAAGTTTGTTTTCTAGGCAAGAATACCTGGCGCTTGTTTTCTAGAAGGGCTGCCTGCCAAGTCCACAGATCGCACAGCACAGCAAATCTGTCCACTCCTGCATGGGCCCATCCCCAGACCTGGCCAGCGTTTGACTTGCTGCCCTCTTTGTGACCTGGAAGAGAAGTGATGACAGTGACCAGAACCAGACCTCCCTCCATGAAGCTGTTCCCGTTAGAAATGCGCCCTCGGATTACCAGCTGCATTTTAGGAAAGAAAGCTGAATGGCAACTGGTTTCTAAATCAAGAAAGAGCCATCCGCAAAGACAAAGCCCAAAGTTCATACTTGTTGACTTAGTCAACAGGGCTTCTTGTTTTTACTTTACAATTTCAGTTTTAAAAACTAATTTTGGAAATATAATCAAATTTAATTAACATAAAAATCTTTACTAAAATATTCTCAAACCTGTCATTTAAAGGCAAAACATCATTTTTTTTTCTTTTCTAAAACCAGGTTCCTGATGGTTTAAAAACAAACCCAATTCCACCTGCTATTTCAGCTGATGTTAGCCAAGTCAAAAATTTCAGAGAAATTTCTAAGATATTCTTTAATTACATTAATCATTAACCTACATAAATAAATGTAATTATTGTCATTATTCATCAGAAATATTTGTCCAATATATTCATGTTAGTTTTCATTATCAGCATTATTATTGCTTTAAATTTTTAAGTGATCAATTTCAGAATGAAATATTTAAAAGTAAGAGCTTTTCAGGGGCTAAAGTTTGAATTCAATAATTATCAAGTATATGATGGCTACTCAACACACGAGAAAGACTTTCCTAGCAGCAGTTGGGAAATCACGGAAATCATCACCATGAATGACTGTGTACCAACTAGCTCAGCTAAAAGATTCTCATGGGGCTAAATGACTACTACATGTTTCAATCCAATTAAATTCTTAGCAGCTGGAAATAGTTGCATAGTATTATAAACTATTATCGACAAAAATGATGCATTCATATGTAGGATAACCAGTAAAGATAAAGAGCTGAAATTGAATGCCCTGGAATGTTGGATGTCGTTGCTGCTTCCCGAGTCAGATCCCAGATGGTCTTTGGCAAAGATAGGACAGAGAGTTCAAGCCAATAGTGAATTAATTCTGCCTAGGATCTGAAAGGTTAATTGTCAGACAGTCCTCAAGCAGGATTTTATAACAATGTGAATATGAATGGTCTTTAATATTACAAAATAGCACAAACCTTTGCTATCTTTCCTTTAGGTATTGGAATATATCTAGAAACTTGTAAGTTCTTTTCAAATGTAATGCTAATGCTGCCATATTATTTTAAAAGAAATATTTTTACCGTGCCTATTCTGAAATTGGATGCATTTGAGTAGTGCCAGACTAAGGGTTATTTGATTACCCGAGTAATGGTTTCTCCCTCTGGGGCTTGTCTGGCATTTTCTGAGCCAGAGCTTCTTGCATCTAGTGGTTTTCTGTCATGAACCCGGGGATGTCCCTGCTTCTAACTGCAGTTTCCCAAGGTCAATCACATTTTTTTTTTCCTTTTTGTTATTTAGGGGGGAAAAATAATTGATTTCATGGCTTCCTTTGCTTCTCTCAGAACCCTGCATGACATTCTCTGCACCTGTTGGGTGATGCAGAAATGTCACTGGGGAATGAGTCCGAACAACAGTAACAATTATAACCAGGTCCCGAGAGAGTAGTCAGTCTCCAACAAAAGGGGCACTTAGGCTGACACAGAGCCCTACCTTTTCCAGTGCGGGTGTGTGTAGGGAAGGTGTATGTGCTTATTGAACTATTGCATTTATATTTTGAGATGGGGTTGTTAGATGAAGTCCTTAGTGTTTTTTGTTTGGTTGGCTGGTTGATTTTTTCAGATCGGATTTCTGACCTTTTTCTTTCTCAATGTAATGGCTGGCCACCAGCAGCAGTTCTGTCTCCAGTTCCTTCAGGTCACTCAAGGCCTTGTCATACATGACATGCACCCCTTGCTGGTCCTGGGTGTGGACGTAGCCGGCTTCAGTGCTATAGTAGTCATCCTGGTTCTCCACTTCTGAGAACTCCATGAATTGGGTGCCATGGACCTGCGGAAACAAAGCCAAGCCTGGAAGTTAGCGGAAAAGGGAGAGCTATATTTTTCCAGCCTGAATGGCAAACAATAGATGTCTTCTCCCATGCACAGAGCTGTAGACACGCTGAAGAATAAAGAGCTGTATGTAGAGAAAAAGATATTAGCAAAGTATGTTGGCGGAAAAGGGAAGTTTCTGAAGTAGATAAATAGCTGAGGAAGTGTTCTGGTTAATTTAGGGTTACCTGGAAAAAGGCAACAGAGCCAGCTGAGCTTTAAAGGTGGTCTCTGAAGTCACAATGCCTGAGTCCACAATGCCTGAATCTCACCTTGATTAAGTCATTCATCTACCCTTAACCTCTGTTTCCTCAACTATAACATGGGAACAGTAGAGATGTTGTCAGGAGTATATGACAATGTGCCTAGGAGGCACGAGAGATCTATAAATGTTAGCTGCTAAAGATATCTTTGGTTTTTAAAAAATATATATTTTATTGATCCTTTTACAGAGAGGAAGGGAGAGGGATAGAAAGCTAGAAACATTGATGAGGGAGAAACATCGACCAGCTGCCTCCTGTACACCCCATACAGGGGATGTGCCCACAACCAATGTACATGCCCTTGACCGAATTGAACCTGGGACCCTTCAGTCTGCAGACCAATGCTCTATCCACTGAAACAAACTGGTTTCAGCAAGATATCTTTGTTTTAATCTTCTAAATACTTCTAAAATGCATTAATATAATCTCATACCTTAGTAATATACTGGATTGAATATTGTCCCTCCAAAATGCATCTCTATCTGAAACCCGTGAATGTCACCTTATTTGGGAGTAGAGTCCTTGCAGATGTACGCAAGATGAGGTCATGCTGGATTAGGATGCACCCTCATCCAATGACTAGTGTCCTTATAAAAGGACCAAACTTTGGAGACAGCTGCATAGGGGAGAAGGCCATATGAAGACAGAGGCAGAGGTTTTAGTGACGCATGTACAGGCCATGGAATGCCAGGGACCCCAAGGATTGCTGCCAACTCCCAGGAGCCAAAAGAGCCGAGGAAGGAACTTCTCCTGGGCCTCCTCAGGGGCTGACCCTGGTGTCTTGAGGCTGGTCACCTCTAGAATTGTGAGGGAGTAAATTGTGAGCCACCCACTTTGTAGTGCATTGTTATGATGGCCTTAGGAAAATAACATTATAAGTAATTTGAGTATTCCCATCATAATTTTATTATTCTTAGATGACTGAAAACCTGATACTTTCTGAGATTCATTCTAATGATAATACTCATAACTTCAAACTATTCCATTCTTCTCAAGCCTCTGAATTCACTCCTCTCCCCCATGCCCAGCCTCCCTGAATCTCCCTCCACATCTACACACACACACACACACACACACACACACACACACACACTGTACACTCCCTCCCTCCTCTCCTACTTCTTCCTGCACTGTAGTGGATGATTCTCCGCCCCTTCTCCAAGGCCTTTTCCTTCCCAACCCTCCCACCTCTGAGGCATCCCTTCTCCTTCTTGGATATCCAACTCCACTTAACCAGATATTTTCCAATTGACACTCAAACATGCTCATGTCCCTCTCATTTTAAACCCTCACACCCTTCCCCAGGTTCCACCTTATGACTTTCCTCCTCATGGTCCAACCTCCTAAGATATTATCTGTACTCATTGTTTCCATTCCTGTACCTCCTAACTCCTCACCCATTCCCTTCTGGGCCCTTTCTCTATCAAGCCCCCCTAACCCTTTTACCACAATGACCTTTTCTGCACATCCAGCAGGCTCTCTTTTTAGCTTACACAACCTCTCAGGAGCATCTGACACAATTTAATACTTCGTGCTTTTTGACTCACGCTCTTCCTGGCCTCCCAGGATTTCACATTTTCCTTGATCTCACCAACTTCCAGCCATCTTTTTCTGGTGCTTGAGGTGTATTTTTCTCTATCATGGCTTTAAATAGTGGCCAGACTCAAGCCCTAGTCCTAGGATCTCATCTTTCCCTCCCATACTCCTTCCTCAAGACACATTACACTTTGATAGCCGAGATAACCTTGCTTAGACCATTTGCTCCTCAATTTATATCTCCAGCCCAGACTTCCTAGAGGGCCAAATCCGTCCCGCCAGGCCTTGCAATGTGGCCCGCACCGCGCTGTCATCACTGCACTCCGCTGCGTTTCCATCACAATGACAGTTTATGACTGTTCAGTAAACCATTCGGCCCGCAATTTAGGCTGGATTTTAGATTTTGGCCCCTTCTCTGATTGAGTTCGACACCCCTACTCTAGACCCACAGATCCAATTACTTTCTTGGCATCTGTTCCTGGGCATCTCAAAGGCCCCTCAAAGTCAACATGATCAAATTGTGTGATTCCCCCACAAACCTAGGCCATCTCCAGCATCTCCATTTTCGTAAGTAGCACCACCCATCCACTTCCTCTAGCATGAATCATTCCTGATGTGTCTTTCTGCCTCACCCTGCATGTCCAATTTAGACCCGAGTTCTGTTGATTTTACTTCCTATCTCTCAAATCCATCTACTTCTCTCAATCCCACCGCCCACCACCCTGTCCAAGCTGTTATTATCTTTCACTAGGATTAGTCTAGGAGCGTCTAAACTGGTTTAGCCTCTAATTGTTCTATCCACATCCCTCTGGCTTTCCCTCCCCTCCATTTTACTCACTGCTGGCAGAGGATCTTTGAGAAATGTAGTTTTAACTGTCCCTTCTCCTTCCTTTTAATATCCTTAAAAGGTACCCTATTGCTCACAGAATAAAGCAAGATGCCCGAACAGGGCTTACATAGTCTATCTCTCTCCAGTAGTTCTCAGCCAAATGTGATTTTGTTCCCCAGAGGACATTTGACCATGCCTGGAGACATTTTTGGCTGTCACAATTGAGGGGAAGTCCTACTGATATCTAGGGGTTGGAGGCCAGGAATGCCGCTTAACATCCTAGAATATTTAGGACAAACTCCCATAACAAAGTTATCAATTACCAAAATGTCAATAGTGATGAGGTTTAGGAACCTTGTGCTAGTTTTATTTTGCTTTGTTTTCCACATGGATCGTGGTCACCCAGCCACTTGTGTCTTCTTTTGGATTCTGTTGGGTGCTTCCTCCCTTTGGCCACAGGTCCTTTGCACAGCCTATCCCCATCCATGGAAAGGTCTCTCTCTCCTTTTTCCTGGTTAAAGCCTTCATCTTCCAACCTCAGCACATCATCACTTTCACAGGGACCTCCTCCTGGCTTCCTCCAAGTTTTGAGGCATTTACTGAGGTTGCTGTTTCACATTTATTTGTGTGACTATTGACTAATATTTGTATCACCCACTGAATTATAAGTATATGAGGTTAAGGAACATGTCTAATTTTGTTTATTATTGTATCTTTAGTGTTTAGCACAGAGTCTAACACATAAGGTTACTTAAAAAATCTATATAATAAAAATGTAATATGCTAATTAGACTGGACATCCTTCCCGGTGTCCTTCCTTCCAGACAAAGCCTAAATGTGCAAGGGCTGAGGTAGAGGAGGCAGAGGCCCTTGGCCACAGTGGTGATGGGCAGGAGCTGGGGCCAAGGCCCTTGTATGAATTTCATGCATCAGGCCTCTAGTATGTAAATAAGAGAATGGATGAATAGATGAATGGTTTTTAATATTTTTGGCATATAGATTTATTTTAGTCTATCACCTCATAATTCTAATTTGTACTTTTAATGTACCGTATTTTCTGGCGTATAAGACGACCCCCTAATTTTACAGTTAAAACATAGGTTTAGGCCTATATTCGCTGTATAAGACTACCCCCCATTTCCGAGGCAACACCAGTTCTTTTTTTAATAGACCGCCTCTCTGACTCTGGCCAATATGAGAGGGCTTTTTACTAGAACACAGTGTAGCTTTGGGTACAGAACATGTACACTGTGTTTTAGTAAAAAGCCTGCTCAGATTGGCCTGATTCAGAGAGGCAGTCTATTAAAAAAACAACTGGTGTTGCCTCGGAAGTGGGGGGTAGTCTTATACAGTGAATATAGACCTAGTTTTAACTGTAAAATATATATATATATATATATATATATATATATATATATATATATATATTAGGGGGTCGTCTTATACGCCAGAAAATACGGTATACTGTAAGAAATAAGGTGATCCTCCAAATTCAGGGGTCCTGGTAGAACACAAAACATATTCAAGAGCCAAGCAGTAAGGCAAGTATCTTTCCTCCTGCAGGAGGATGCGCAGCACATGGTCTGGAAACACGTGCGCACTGAGCAGGCAGTCTGCTCGGCCTTTTAATCTTGATGCATATGACCTGTCCCTCACTCTTGATTGGAGCTCAGGTGCATAGCCTTTTGAGATTGGCTAATTCAAAGGGAGGGGTTGGCCTTTGCCATTTCAAGATGGTGGCCCCCAGGGGAGCTGTGGTTCATGTTCCATTAAAAGGATATTTCATAGTTAAGCATTCCTCTAGTAGGTTGTTATTTTTGTTTACTTTGTTTTTGGCTAGTCTATAGATATGAAACTTTTAAAAAATTTGGAACTTACTTTGGCTAGGAGTTCCAAAAGTCAAAGTATTTTTAAACAAATATATTTTATTGATATTTTACAGAGAAGGAGAGGGATAGAGAGTTAGAAACATCGATCAGCTGCCTCCTGCACACCTCCACACTGGGGATGTACCAACAACCAAGGCACATGCCCTTGAACGGAATTGAACCTGGGAGCTTTCAGTCTGCAGGCTGATGCTCTATCCACTGAGCCAAACAGATTAGGGCCAAAGTTCTGTTTTTTATAGAATGATAGGCACCAATGAAAACACAAAAAATGCTGTGAAATAACATGCTACATACAAAAATTAAACAGCTTGTTTAGATTTATAAACTATCATGTTGGCTTCTGTTGGCATTTAGCACCTATCATTTGTTATGTGAAATGAGCTCTCCTTTATCCACTTCACTGGAAAAGACCTTTCCCAAATTCTTTTCAGGGAAATTTTAT